TTACAGCCAACAGCATTACAAGAAGTCAATCAAGGAGCCAGCGTTGTAGCATCGTAGGTTAAGCCTCCTACTGTGGTGCTAATCCTGGCTACTCCACTTCAGATCCAGCTTCCTGCTGATGACCTGGGAAAACAGTGGAGGATGGCCCAGGTGCTTGGGCCCCTGCATCAACGTAGGAGACCTGGAGGAAGCTCCTGGCTCCTGACTTCAGATCGGCTCAGCTCCAGCCATTTGGGGAGAGAACTGGTGGATGGAAGAACTCTGTTTCTCCCTCTCTCTTTCTGTAACTCTGCCTCATAAAAAAAATGGATAAATCTTAAAAAAAAAGTCATTAAAAATACCTTTATATCAAGGCACCTGTATTGTTAGTTTCTGACCTTTGCAAGTGTATAAATTTTTTGCTTCACTCTTGACAATTTTCAACATGTACCAATTTGACAGTGCTGCTCCATAACTGCCATAGTACCTAAGTATCTACATAATCCTTCCATAGAATCATATAACCCATCTATTTCTCTTCACTGTGGCATTTGGGTTTTTAGATTTTTCAATAATACTGATAAAAAAACTTTGAATATATTTGTACATATTCTTGTGCTGAATTCTTTTGTTAGAATAATTTCCCTTAAATGAGATTATTAGCCCACAGAGTATGAATAATTTTATGTCTCTTAACAGGTATTATATTGTCTTTCAAAAGGATTATACAATTTTATGCTACACTATACAATAAACAAGGTTTCTGTTTCATCACTGCTGTACCTACACCAACCTTGATCATTTTTAAGTTTGCTTTTACTAATTTAGAAGGGATAAGACAGTATCTTAACATTTTATTTACTTACTAACTTTTATTTGAGAGACAGAGAAAGAGACTCAATTGAGGTCTGCCATGTGGGTGCCAGGGATCCAACTACTTAAGGCAACTACTTAAGCCATCACTATTATCTTCCAGGGTACATATTAGCAGGAAGCTAGAATCAAGAGTGAAGCTGAGCCTCAAACCCAAGCACTCCAATGTAGGATGCAGGTGTCCAAACCACATCTTAACCACTAGAACAAACAACTGCCCCAACATTACCTTACTTTTGCTTTACTTTGTATTTCTTTCATAAATATCAAGTTAATTTTTTCTGTATTTGCTTTTTATAAATGGTCACATTCAAATCTAAACTAGGGGGGCTGGTGTCATAGCATAGTGGGTTAAGCTGCCACCTGTGATGCCAGCATCCCATATGGATGCCAATTCAAAATCCAGCTGCTCCACTTCTGATCCAGCTCCCTACTAATGCACCTGGGAAAGCAGTGGGGAATAGCCCAAGTGCTTGGGTCCCTGCACTCATGTAAGAGACCCAAAAGAAAGTCCAGTCTCCTGGTTTCAGCCTGGCCCAGTCCTAGTTGTTAAAGCCATTTGGGGACTAAATCAGTAGATGGAAGATCCATCTTTCTCTCTCTCTCTGTCTCTCCTTTTCTCACTATAACTCTATCTTTAAAATGAATAAACAGTAAAATCTAAATAAATTCTTAAAAAATCTAAATTAGGACAACTTGTTCTTAGACAAGATTGAGCACTATGCAGTATCACAACAAAGCGTTATGAACAAAGCGTTGGGAAAACAGAGAATATGAAAACTTATCAGTCTTCAAATAAGGCAGACCAAGGGCAAAACACTTGATTTCAACATGTCCTAAACATGACTTAGGTTAACTGTAAAACAGGATGTCAGTCACATGAGGCAGTTGTTATGTGAGGACTAAGTGAAATAATCTCTGCTGGTAGTTTCGACCACAGTATACATGAGAATCACTTCCAAGACTATAATTATGGAAGCTAGGCCTTATCCCAGACCAAATGAATCAGAAACTAAAGGATCAGAATCAAGAATACATATTTTTTTAAAAGTTTAGGCAGTAACTGCCTTTCCCTGTCAAAAGGATTCCACTTTATACTCCTGTGTAATCCCCAAATATCTGCAAAGCACCCAATATCCACTCTCACTCCCAGAGTTGACTTCAGCAACAATATCACTGAGAAAATAGAAATAACCAAAGACCCCCACAAGGACATAGGCCACCATGCCTATAGGTCTTCACTTTTTACTCTGTCTTCAACCCTGCATTGTGAACAAACTTACAGCTTCTGATCTAAATCTACCTGCTCCACTCCCAGATTGCCATCCCTCTCAATTCACACAGCCATCCACCTTGCAAATGCCTCCTTTCTCGCCTGCATCAATTCCTCCCTCTCTCTACCAGATCATTCCCATCAGCATTCAAAAACATGTTGTCACGTCATCAACACACTCACCCACAAACTCTTTCTTAACTTCATAATGGCCCCTCGTTCCCTCTATTTCTGCTTTTTGTAGCAAAACTCCTCCAAAAAAGTTGCTGTATCCATTCTTCTATTCTCTTATACCCACTCCAACAAATATTTAATCTCCTTGGAAACACTACATACAGCAAGATCACCAATGACTCCACTTCTAGATCTAATGGTAAATTTTTGTCTCATCCTACTTGATCTATCCACAGCTTCTTTAAAATTGCTGATCGTCCCCTTCTCTTTGAAGCTTGTTATCCATTCAGCTCCAAGAAAACCCTATCTTCTGGCTTCTCTACCTATCAAACAGGCTGTTTCCAAATCATTCTGATGGTATCTTCTCTTCTCCTCAGTCACTAAGCACTGGGGTTTCAAGACTCTCAGTCTTGGGCCGGCGCCACAGCTCAATAGGCTAATCTTCCGCCTGTGGCATTGGCACCCTGGGTTCTAGTCCCGGTCGCTCCTCTTCCAGTCCAGCTCTCTGCTATGGCCCAGGAGTGCAGTGGAGGATGGCCCAAGTCCTTGGGCCCTGTACCTGCATGGGAGACCAGGAGAAGCACCTGGCTCCTGGCTTCGGATCAGCACGGTGCGCCAGCCGCAGCGGCCATTGGGGGATGAACCAATGGAAAAAGGAAGACATTTCTCTCTCTGTCTCTCTCTGTCTCTCTCTCTCTCTCTCTCACTATCCACTCTGCCTGTTTCTGTAGTCATTCTTTTGGTGTGCTTGTCCAGTCTCATTTTAATTATCACCTATGCACAAATAATTCCCAAGTAAGGGAATCATACCTTGAAGCCAGACTTTGCCTACGAAACCCAGACTCATCTATGCAGCTGCATGCTCAACATACCCCCTGCAGCCCAAATCTGCTTCTGCCACAGTCAGTCCCATCCGAACAGCTCAATGCTTTCAAATTCCCGGACCAAAATGCCCTGAGATTATTCCTACTCTGCCACCATCTTATACAAGCCACACCAAATGTAGAAGCCAAACCTCATCGGCTCCCCATATGGAAACAGTACTTCACAAATAAGGGAGGAGGGAGAAAAAAGTAATATAAAAGAGATCAGCCCATTGAGGGGACTGGATTCCCAGCTCTGGGGCAACTCCCCAACACGGGGAGCTTCTGTTACTTATTGCAAATAAATTCGTTTTTGCTCTTGCACTATGTTTCAGACTTTTTATTTCTATACTGAGCAACAAGTCTGCCAACCAGGGGAAACAGCTCCCCACAACCAGACACAATCCTATTATTCACATTCCAAGTACCACCACATCATTCACCATTCAATGCTGTACATTTTTATATGAACAGTTCTAACAAAATTTTTTTTTTTTTTTGACAGGCAGAGTGGACAGTGAGAGAGAGACAGAGAGAAAGGTCTTCCTTTTCCATTGGTTCACCCCCTCCAAATGGCCACTATGGTGGGCGCGCTGAGGCCTGCGATCCGAAGCCAGGAGCCAGGTGCTTCTCCCGGTCTCCCATGCAGGTGCAGGGCCCAAGGACTTGGGCCATCCTCCACTGCCCTCCCAGGCCACAGCAGAGAGCTGGACTGGAAGAGGAGCAACCGGGACAGAATCCAGCACCCCGACCAGGACTAGAACCCCAGGGTGCCAGCGCCACAGGCGGAGGATTAGCCTATTGAGCTGTGGCGCGGGCCAGCTCTAATAATTTTCATTCTGGCCTCCGAAGTCACCAATATCATCTGCATTCTAAGCTGAAATCAATGTTTTCCTATGTATTCTTCAGAATCACCTTACAATTACATCTTCAATCAATGTAAATTTTATTGTAGTATATGGTAGAAAATGGGGCTAGTGCTAAGGCAGGACCTTCAATTTGTGATCAGATCCTGAGGGCTCTGTCCTCACCATATGGATTAATGCTATTTTCACGGGAATGGACTTGCTCTTGTGAATTTGTTGTAAAAATGAATTTGGCCCTTCTCTTTTTTTCTCTCAACCTCTCACTGCCCTTCCACGTGGGATGATAAAGTCAGATATGGCCCCTATATCTTCCCAACCCTCAAAATCATAAGTCAGATAAATATTGTTTATAAATTATTCAGTCTATGGTACTGTCTTATAGCACCAAAAAAAAAACATACTAAGAAAGGACTCAAACTTTATTTTCTCTCAAAAGAATAGCCACTTGTCCCTAGTGGTATTTGTTAAGTCAACATTTCTTTACCGACATAAAACGTTTTTATTTATCAAATTTTCACATACAGATATATATATATACATATATGTGTGTGTGTGTGTGCAGCCAATGTTGTGGTGCAATAAGTTACACAATGCCCGGCATCCCATCTGGGTACTAGTTTGAGTATCCAGCTCTCTATTAATGCACCTAGGAAAGCAACAGAAGATGGCCCAAGTGCTTGGGCCCCTGCCACCCACATGGGAGACCCAGATGAAGCTCCTGGCTACTTGCTTCAGCCTGGCCCAGCCCTAGACACTGAGGCCATTTGGGGAATGAACCAAAGAATAGAAGATCTCTCTCTGTCTCTGTCTCTCCCGCTCCCTCTGCAACTCTACATTTCAAATAAATAGAATAAATCTTAAAAGAGAAAGAAAGACAGATGTATGTGTGTATAGTTGTTTCAGACTTCATTTTCTCCTACTGCTATCAAACTTAGGTAGTACAATGAAGCTAAGCCAAAAGAAATCACTCACCTGTCCTTCTTCATCAAAAGCCATGACCACAACAGCAGCTCCAAATTTCTTAATCTTCCTGGCCTTCTCCAAGAAGTCATCCTCTCCCTCCTTCAGACTAATGCTGTTAACAATGCACTTCCCTTGGCTGCACTTCAACCCAGCCTCGATCACAGCAAAATTGGAAGAATCAATGCACAAGGGCACCTGGGATCAAAACGGCAGAAAAATCAAAGATTCCTTACTTTTTCTTTAAGGAAACAATAAACAAATAATGGTAGTGTGTCAGAGATAGGATTTTAATATACTTTTACTTTTTAAATTTTTTAAATTTTATTTAAGTTATATAAGTTTCATGTATTTCATATACCCAGATTTAGGAACATAGTGATACTTCCCCCTACCCTCTCTCCCACCCATGCTCCAACCATTCTTCCTCCTCCATCTTGCATTCCCACTCTTAATTTTTACAAAGATCTATTTTCAGTTTACTCAATGATCATATAGCTAACCCTACATTAAGTAAAAGAGTTCAACAAATAGTATGAAAAAAAAAAAAAAAAAAAAACACTGTTCCTCAACAGAAGAGACAAGGGCTATAAACAATCATCAAATCTCAAAATATCCACTCCACTCTAATACACTACATTTCAGGTACTCTATTAGTTACCTCGGATCAGGTAAAACATATGATGTCTTGTTTTGGGGGACTGGCTTATTTCACTAAGTATAATGGTTTCCAGTTGCGTCCCTCCTGCTGCAAGACAGGATTTCATTTTTTTTTTACAGCTTAGAATTCCATAGTGTATATATACCAAAATTTCTTTATCCAGTCAACAGTTGATGGATATCTGAGTTAATTCTGTATCTTAGCTATTGTGAATTATGCTGCAATGAACATGGAGGTACAGATAACTCTTTCAGATGCTGATTTTTTTTTTTTTGGTTTGGGTAAATTCCCAGGAATGGGATGGCTGGCTCATATGGTGGGTCTATATTGAGATTTCTGAGGTATCTCCACACTATCTTCCACAGTGTCTGCACCAGTTTACATTCCCTCCAATGGTAGATAAAGGTACCTTTTCTCCTACATCCTCATCAGTATTTGTTGTTTGATGATTTTTATATGACAGACATTCTAACTGGAGTGAGGTGAAACATCATTGTGGTTTTGATTGCATTTCCCTGATGGCTAGTGATCCTGAGCATTTTTTCAAGTGTCTGTTGGACAAGTGAATTTCTACTCTTGAAAAATGCCTGTTCAAGTCCTTTGCCCATCTCTTAACTAGACTGTTTGTGTTGTTGTTGTTGAATTTCTTGAGCTCTTTATAGATACTGGATGTTAACCCTTTATCAGTTGCATAATTTGCAAATATTTTCTCCCATTATGTTGGTTCACTCTTCAGTTTCCTGAGTGTATCTTTCACAGTGCAGAAGCTTCTCGGTTTGATGTAATCCTATTTGTCAATTTTGGCTTTGATTGCCTGTGCTTCTGGGGTCTTTTCCAAAAAGTCTTTGCATATGCCAATGTCTTAAAGGGTTTTCCCAATGTTTCTAGTAATTTGATGGTACTGGGTTATAGATTTAGGTCTTCAATCCATTTTGAGTAGATTTTTGTGTAAGGTGTAAGGTATGGGTCTAGTTTCATACTTCTGCACATAGAGATCCTGTTTCCCCAGCACCATTTGTTAAAGACACTATCCTTGCTCCAGGGATTCATTTTAGCTCTTTTTCAAAGATAAGTTGGTTGCAGATGCATGGATTGATTTCTGGAGTTTCTATTCCATTCCATTGGTCTGTTTTTGTGCCAGTACCAGGCTGTTTTTATTATAATTGCCCTACAGCATATCTTCAAATCAGGTATTGTGATGCCTCTGGCTTTGTTTTTGTTATGTAAGACTGCTTTAGCTATTCGGGGTCTCCTGTGTTTCCATATTAATTTTAGCATCATATCTTCTAGATCTGCTAAGAATGTCTTCGGTAATTTGATTGCAATAGCATTGAATCTCTAAATTACTTTTGGTAGTACAGACATTTTGATGATGTTGATTCTTCCAATCCATGAACATGGAAGATTTTTCCATTTTTTAATATCTTCTTCTATTTCTTTCTTTAGTGTTTTGTAATTTTCATTATAGAGATCTTTGACATCCTTGGGGTATTTAATTCTTTTTGGAGCTATTATGTATGGGACTAATCTTAAAAGTTCTTTCTCAGCCATGGCAACATCTGTGTATACAAAGGCTACTGAATCAAAATCATACCATGCACCTTCTCTAATCACAATGGAATGAAGCTGGAAATCAACAACTCAAGAATCTCTAGATCATATGCAAACACATGGAGACTGAACAACATGTTCCTGAATGAACAGTGTGTCATAGAAGAAATCAAAATAAAAATCAAAAAAAATTTCTGGAAACAAATGAAGATGACAATAAAACTTATCAGAACTTATGGAATACAGCAAAAGCAAAAAGCAGTCTTAAGAGAGAAGTTTATAGCAATCAGTGCCTACATGAAGAAACTGAAAAGATACCAAATAAATGAGCTATCAATGCTCCTCAAGGACTGAGAAAAACAACAACAAACCAAACCCAAAATTAGTAGAAGGAAAGAAATAATTAAAATTAGAGAATAAAAAAAATTGGAAACAAAAAAATTACAAAAGATCAGTGAAATGAAGAACTTTTTTTTGAAAAAATAAACAAAATTGATATACCATTGGCCCAACTAAGCAAAAAAAAAAAAAGAGGGATAAGACCCAAATCAATAAAATCAGAGATAAAAAGGGAAATGTAATGATGCCACAGAAATAAAAAGAATCATCAGCAATTATTATAAAGAGCTGTTGCCAACAAATTGGGAAATCCAGAAGAAATGAATAGATGCCTAGACACATACAATCTACTAAAATTGAGTCATTAAGACATAGAAAACCTAAACAGATCAATAACCAATATGGAAATTGAATTAGTAATAAAGACCCTCCCAAAAAAGAAAAGCCTAGAACTGGACAGCTTCACTGCTGAATTCTACCAGACATTTAAAGAACTAATTCTAATTCTTCTCAAGATCTTCAAAAAAGGGAAGGAATCCTCCCAAACTCCTTCTATGAAGCCTGCATCATCTTAATTCCTAAGCCAGAAAATACACAACAGAGAAAAAGATCTATAGACCAATATCCCTGATGAACATAGATGTAAAAATCCTCAACAAAATATTAACTAATTGAATCCTACAACACATCAGAAAAATCATTCACTCAGACCAAGTAGGATTTATCCCTAGTATGCAGGGATGGTTCAACATTTGCAAATCAATGTGATACATCACATTAACAAAGTGAAGAACAAACACCATATGGATATCTTAATAGATGCAGAGAAAGCATCTGATAAAATACAACATCCTTTCATGATGAAAACCTTAAGCAAATTGGATATAGAAGGAACATTCCTCAACACAATCAAGGCAATTTATGACAAACCCACAGACAGCATCCTACTGAATGGGGAAAAGGTAGAAGAATTCCCACTAAGATACAGAACCAGACAAGGACGCCGACTCCCATCACTGCTATTTAATACAGTCTGAAAGTTTTAGCCAGAGCCATTAGGCAAGAAAAAGAAATCAAAGGGATAGTAATTGGAAAGAGGAAATCAAACTATCCCTATTCACAGATGACATGATTCTATATATAGGGGATATAAAAGACTCCCACTGAGAAACTATTGGAATTCATAAAAGAGTTTGGTAAAGTGGTAGGATATAAAACCAACAAAGAAAAATACACTTTTTCTTAATGCCCAAAATACTTGGAGCAAATTCTTTCAATAAAGCCAGCATCACCTTAATTCCTAAGCCGGAAAAAGATGCAGCATTGAAAGAGAATTACAGACCAATATCCCTGATGAACATAGATGCAAAAATCCTCAATAAAATTCTGGCCAAGAGAATGCAACAACACATCAGAAAGATAATCCACCCAGACCAAGTAGGATTTATCCCTGGTATGCAGGGATGGTTCAATGTGCGCAAAACAATCAATGTGATACACCACATTCACAGACTGCAGAAGAAAAACCATATGATTATCTCAATAGACACAGAGAAAGCAATAGATAAAATACAACACCCTTTCATGATGAAAACTGAAAGCAAACTGGGTATAGAAGGAACATTCCTCAATACAATCAAAGCAATTTATGAAAAAACCACGGCCAACATCCTACTGAATGGGGAAAAGCTGGAAGCATTTCCACTGAGATCTGGTACCAGACGGGGATGCCCACTCTCACCACTGCTATTCAATATAGTTCTGGAGGTTCTAGCCAGAGCTATTAGGCAAGAAAAAGAAATTAAAGGGATACAAATTGGGAAGGAAGAACTCAAACTATCCCTCTTTGCAGATGACATGATTCTTTATTTAGGGGACCCAAAGAACTCTACTAAGAGACTATTAGAACTCATAGAAGAGTTTGGAAAAGTAGCAGGGTATAAAATCAATGCACAAAAATCAACAGCCTTTGTATACACAGACAATGCCATGGCTGAGGAAGAACTTCTAAGATCAATCCCATTCACAATAGCTACAAAAACAATCAAATACCTTGGAATAAACTTAACCAAGGATGTTAAAGATCTCTACGATGAAAATTACAAAACCTTAAAGAAAGAAATAGAATAGGATACCAAGAAATGGAAAAATCTTCCATGCTCATGGATTGGAAGAATCAATATCATCAAAATGTCCATTCTCCCAAAAGCAATTTATAGATTCAATGCAATACCAATCAAGATACCGAAGACCTTCTTCTCAGATCTGGAAAAAATGGTGCTGAAATTTATATGGAGACACAAGAGACCTCGAATAGCTAAAGCAATCTTGTACAACAAAAACAAAGCCGGAGGCATCACAATACCAGATTTCAGGACATACTACAGAGCAGTTGTAATCAAAACAGCATGGTACTGGTACAGAAACAGATGGATAGACCAATGGAACAGAATTGAAACACCAGAAATCAACCCAAACATCTACAGCCAACTTATATTTGATCAAGGATCTAAAACTAATTCCTGGAGCAAGGACAGTGTATTCAATAAATGGTGCTGGGAAAACTGGATTTCCACGTGCAGAATCATGAAGCAAGACCCCTACCTTACACCTTACACAAAAATCCACTCAACGTGGATTAAAGACC